TCACGCAATTCTGACTTTATTTCTCGCAATTGTGAGTTTGTCATGCAATTCTGACTTTATTTCACACAATTGCGAGTTTATATCACACAATTCTGACTTTATTTCTCGCAATTGTGAGTTTGTCATGCAATTCTGACTTTATTTCACACAATTGCGAGTTTATATCACACAATTCTGGTAAAAAAGTCAGAATTGTGAGACTAAAAAGTCACAATTAACGTTTAAAATTTTTTTTAGTGGCAGAAACGAACTTCCATAGAATATACAAACAGAGTTTCTAAATATGTTCCTCAGAGAAGTTAAGTGGTTAAAATAATACTGCATTCATTCGTCCGAAAGACCGATACGGAATATTTTCGTTATTAATACTTGTAGTGCACATGCGAACCGAAACGTACCCAGAATGCTGTTCCCTCTGAACGGGTAGCCGTTGAAAGTAAAGGCGTGGGAGTGGTCAGCCGTGACGACTGTCAGAGTCTCCTCCTCATTGGTCAGCTCCAGTCCGCGGGCGACAGCGTCATCAAGGGCAACCGCCTCATGCAGCGCCATGGATGCTCGACTGTCATGGTGTCCCTGATCGATACGGCCGCCTGTGAAAGGATATGAAGATCAAATCTGATCGACGAACATGTGAGATTTTAATCTGAGTTTGATTCATCTGACAATGACGCTAAACTACAGACATTGCACTGGTTTATTAATAGATTCAATTTTCTGATTGATTAGTGAATAGATTTGTGGGTGGATGGACTGATCAGCAATGAATTGGTCTTTTTGTTGGTTGATTGTTTGGTTATTTGGTTGATGGATTGCTTGTTTGTAAATTGATTACCTTCGACCAGCAGGAAGAATCCTTTGGGATTTTTCTTCAGGATCCGAATGGCTTTCTCTGTGGTTTCTGAGATGGAGGGATCCATGCTGGGATCTCTCTCCACATCAAACCGAAGGTCACCCGGCTCAAAGAGAGCTAGAGAGACAACATTTCCCCATTTTTATTCCAAATGCCATTCAAAATCTTAATCAAAGACCTTGAAACTCAATGCAGCACGAAGCAGGGTTATTAGCGTTTACTAAAACTAAAGTTAGGGTTATTTTAATTGAAATAAAGATTAAATAAAACAAATAAAAATAAATATTATAAATATAAAAAAATTTAATTATGAAATACATTTTAATTGCTAGGGTTAGAGTTGGGGTTATTTTAACTGAAAAAAAGATATTAAATAATAAAAATAAAAATAAATGTAATAAATATAAAATACATTGAGTCTATAATCCATAATAACGCTTCCTCCAGTGAAAAAGTGTTCTGGTGTGAATCAGGAGAGAAATCTGCACAGATCAAGCAGCGTTTAAACAGCTCTAAACTAATATGTAGCTGGATTTTCACTGGAGGAAGAGTTATTATGGATTACGGATTCGTGTTTTAGTTAAAAAGGTCTTAATGCTGGATTTGTTTCAGCTTTTGTCTTCTCCAGATGTTCACTGATGGACTGGAGTGGTGTGGATTACTTGTGGATTATTGTGATGTTTTTATCAGCTGTTTGGACTCTCATTCTGACGGCACCCATTCACTGCAGAGCATCCATTGCTGAGACACTGAAAAAGTGTTCTGGTGTGAATCAGGAGAGAAATCTGCACAGATCAAGCAGCGTTTAAACAGCTCTAAACAAATATGTAGCTGGATTTTCACTGGAGGAAGAGTTATTATGGATTACGGACTCGTGTTTTAGTTAAAAAGGTCTTAATGCTGGATGTGTTTCAGCTTTTGTCTTCTCCAGATGTTAACTGATGGACTGGAGTGCTGTGGATTACTTGTGGATTATTGTGATGTTTTTATCAGCTGTTTGGACTCTCATTCTGACGGC